TATAATTACAATAAAAATAAAATTGCAATGCACATTGAACATCATTATAATATTTAATTGGAGAGGAATAAATGGAACGTCCATTTTCTCTCTCATCTTTTTTTATTTTTATATATTATTTTTTATTATTGTTATTAAACCATATTTTATTTTGTTTTCATTCTTTTATTTTATATATATGTTTATCTTTTTATTATTAATTCATATTTTTTTAAATATTTTTTTATGTATCTATTTGTTTATACATAATATTTTTATATAATATGGTTTTCTTATTACTTTTTATATTATTTTTTCTATATTATGAATGTGTAATATGCAATGCATTACAATATAATCAAGCGCTTTTAGCTGTCCAGCATTGTGACTACTCTATAGGCTTTCAGTAATCGCCGAAAGCTTTACAAGGTAAGGATATAGGGCAAGGTTGAGTAATCGCCGAAAGCTTTACAAATTAAAAATATAAATTACGACCCATTAAATTCCTCGTGGTAAGGGGTATAGGGATATAGGGAAAGGATAAGGGTAAATGCGAACCGGAGACTCGGCGGTTCTAGGAAAGGATGGAGAGTCCTCGGATAGGTTATTAAGAGTTAGTAAGAGTGATTGAGGTGTTAACTTAAAACTAAAGAGGAATATAGGCAAAATGGGCGTATTACAAATACAACTTAATCTAACCTAACGAAAAAGAGAACTATCTTCTATAGTAAATTGCACTTTACTGTATTAATTAGTTCTCTAGCAATTATATTATCATAACTGCCTAATTGGACATTTAGGATAATTAATTGCCACCTAATTATATAATTTGTCTATGGTTTTTGCTGTCAAATTCTATAGTTTGGTCCACCTCAATGTGTATCGTATTTTTTAATACGATGTTATAGATTGTGTAAACGTATATTTCGTTCATGTTTTGTGTCGGGTGTGTGTCATTTCTTTGTGTTCTGCTTCAGGTACCTAGATCATAGCATTTCCTTCTATCCTAAATTTCCCTATTTTCTTTTTAATTCCTCCCGGGTGTGCGGTCGCGCGTTTGCTCTCATTTGCATTGAGTCAAAGCAGCGACTTCCACGTGGCCGCATCCCCAGGTGCAAAAGGTATATCATCTTCTCTCGAAGATGATAACCAGGTATCAATTCAAGCGCAAAACATAGCCTCTGAATTGATTC